ACATTTTTAATACCCAACTATATACTAAAAATGCAGATGTACACTTGCTGTTCTACTCTGTGGCACAATAGCATCCCAGAATGAAACACAGCCATACAATGTTGTTTGTATAAAACATAAGCAAAGTTCACCTTCAAGGGCAAGGTCTGGAAAGGAAGCTGCCAGTATAGAAATGTATTGCTTTATGTCCAGGTTAACACTTCAGGGTCCTGCTTTCTTTCTAGGTGTGTGAATGTGCTATTCACATCTAGCATTTGGGGTCTCAGTTGAGGAATCTGCAGTTCCTATTTAGATAATTGACTGGATGTACCCACCTAGGCTGAGTTGATTGGCTGATAGAAATCATCTAAGGTGAGCTAATTGGCTAATAGATACACCTGGGCTGAGGTAACTGGCTAGTTGAAGTCACCTAATTTTACTCCCTTTGAAAGTCAGGTGCCGGGCGCGGTGGCTCACGCCTGTAATCCCAGCACTTTGGGAGGCCGAGACGGGCGGATCACGAGGTCAGGAGATCGAGACCATCCTGGCTAACACGGTGAAACCCCGTCTCTACTACAAAAATACAAAAAAACTAGCCGGGCGAGGTGGCGGGTGCCTGTAGTCCCAGCTACTCGGGAGGCTGAGGCAGGAGAATGGCTTGAACCTGGGAGGCGGAGCTTGCAGTGAAGCCAAGATCCGGCCACTGCACTCCAGCCTGGGTGACAGAGCCAGACTCTGTCTCAAGAAAAAAAAAAAAAAAAAAAGTCAGGTGCCTACTTAGGTTTCTCCCAAGTGCACTTTCCTTCTTGCCCACTCCTGCTCTGGGGGGCGGGGGGAAGAACCTAATTTTTTGTTTTTTTTTGAGACTGAGTCTCGTTCTGTCACCCAGGCTGGAGGGCAATGGCGCGGTTTCAGCTCACTGCAACCTCTGCTTCCTGGGTTTAAGCCATTCTCCTGCCTCAGCCTCTTGAGTCCCTGGGATTATAGGTGCCCGCCACCACACCCAGCTAATTTTTTTTTTTTTTTTTAAAAGTAGAGACGGGGTTGTGCACTTTGGCTAGTCTGGTCTTGAACTCCCAACCTCGTGATCCGCCCATCTCGGCCTCCCAAAGTGCTGGGATTACAGGCATGAGCCACCTCGCCCCGCCTGAAATAACCTATTTTTATAATTTATAATTTTTATAATTAAATTATACTTTATAATTAAATTTTATAATTTGCTGATTGGAATTACCTGGGCTGAGATAATTTACTAATTTTAAAAAAACTGTCCTGGCCGGGCGAGGTGGCTCACTCCTGTAATCCCAGTGCTTTGTGAGGCCTAGGCGGGTAGATCACCTGATGTCAGGAGTTTGAGACCAGCTGGCCAACATGGTGAAACCCCATCTCTACTAAAAATACAAAAATTAGCCAGGTGTGGTGGCCCATGCCTGTAATCCCAGCTACTCAGGGGGCTGAAGCAGGAGAATCGCTTGAACCCGGGAAGTGGAGGTTATAGTGAGCTGAGATCGCGCCACTGCACTCCAGCCTCCCAGACAGAGGGAGATTCCGTTCCCTTCCCCGTCCTCCACCCCCACTCAAAGAAAAACCAACTGACCTGAGCTAATTAGCTGGTTGGATTTACAAGTACTGAGTGGCTGGGATGAGTAGAGAATTCACATCTGACTCAGTTTTATTTCAAGGCTTTATTACAAGACATAATAGACATTTATATAACCCTGTGTGTTTGTATTTTTAGTCTATCTACATTTTTATTACTGTATCTAAATCCGTAGAGTAAAACTTCCAAAATAAACTGAAATGTGCTTTTAATATCATAGTCAAAGTAACTGCTCTTGGCTTTTCTTTTTTACCCCATAGGTTCACTTTTCCAGCCAAAAAATCCCACATAAATATATGGTATTCCTATGTCACATTTTCAAAAAAATAGATAGCATAAATTGATGAAAGCTGTAAAGAAAAATTTCTGGCACTTTCAAATTTAACAGTAACACAGCCCACCACTGAGGCTCTGAATCTCACATGAGGAAGTTGTCAAAAGCTTGTTGGAGAGCTTTTAAGCTGAAGCTGCTTTATCTTTAGTTCTGTGTTCACCAGAATTAGAGTGGTCAGCCTTGACCTGGCAGTAAATGTTTCTCGTGGCCTTAGTGCATTTTCTTTTTGTTTTAAATCTTATTTTACTTTAAGTTCCTGGATACATGTGCAGAACGTGCAGGTTTGTTACATAGGTATACATGTGCCATGGTGCTTTGGTGCACTGATCAACCCGTCAACTAGGTTTTAAGCCCCACATGCATTAGGTTTTTGTCCTAATGCTCTTCCTCCCATTGCCCCTGACTCCCCTGACAGGCTCTGATGTGTGTTGTTCTCCCTGTGTCCATGTGTTCTCACTATTCAACTCCCACTTATGAGTGAGAACATGCAGTGTTTTGTTTGCTGAGGATGATGGCTTCCAGATTCATCCATGTCCCTGCAAAAAACATGATCTCATTTTTATGGCTACATAGTATTCTATGGTGTATATGTATCATTTTCTTTATCCAGTCTATCATTGATGGGCATTGGGTTGGTTCCATGTCTTTGCTATTGTAAATAGTGCTGCAATAAACATACATGTGCATGTATCTTTATATTAGAATCATTTATATTCCTTTTGAGTATATATCCAGTAATGGGATTGCTGGGTCAAATGGTATTTCTGGTTCTAAATCCTTAAGGAATCATCACACTGTCTTCCACAATGGTTGAACTAATTTACACTCCCACCAACAGTGTAAAAGCATTCCTATTTCTTTACAGCCTCACCAGCATTTTTTATTTCTTGACTTTTTAATAGTCACCATTTTGACTGAATCCTGCCTATTCCTGCTTCAAGCAAACCTCCATGACCCAGATGAACCCAGGTTCTGCCTGTCCCCAAACCCTAGCCTTGGCCTCTTTCTCTCTGGGCTTAGCATCCTTACCTGGCACAGAAAGCTCAAAGCTCCTGGCTTGCTTACATCATTAAAGTGCTACATTATGAAGACTCAGTGAAAGCATGAAACTGTATAATTGTATGTTCGAATACTTTCAACAAGTGCAAATGTATAGGCTTAAAGAAATAGAACTGGCCAGGTGTGGTGGCTCGTGCCTGTAATTCCAGCACTTTGAGAGGCTGAGGTGGGCGGATCACTTGAGGTCAGGAGTTCGAGACCAGCCTGGCCAACATGGTGAAACCCCATCTATACTAAAAATACAAAATTAGGCTGAGCTCGGTGGCTCATGCCTGTAATTCCCAGGACTTTGGGAGGCCGAGGAGGGTGGATTACCTGATGTCAGAAGTTTGAGATGAGCCTGGCCAACATGGCGAAACCCCGTCTCTATTAAAAATGCAAAAATTAGCTGGGCATGGTGGCACATGCCTGTAGTCCCAGCTACTAGGGAGGCAGAAGTTGCAGTGAGCTGAGATCGCGCCACTGGACTCCAGCCTGGGTGACAGAGCGAGACTGTCTCAAATTATATATATATACACACACAGACGTACATATGTATAAATATGTATATGTGTATGTATGAATGTGTATATATGTGTGAATATGTATATATATGCAAATATATGTATATATGTGTCTGTGTCTGTATATGTATATATGTATATGTGTGTATACATGTATATGTATATATGTATGTATACATATGGGTTTATATATATATGTGAAATAAAACAATTATGTGCACTTTTTAGACCCAAGAGTTGAATCCCTGGAACTTAACAGCACAAGGATTTTTCAGGCAATACAGAGAATTGCATGAATACAATAATCTTTTTAAATTAGTAATTTGAGTTAACTTTTAGATAACTCTTGAATTAGACAAAATTATTCATTTTTCAATGAGAACCCATGTTTTTGGCACATTTAATATAAACCTATGGAGCAAAAATGTTTGAACTGCCCATCAGATGAGCATTTCATAGATGAGGACCATTCCACAATTTCGAAATAGATTTTCAAAATACTACTTTGTATCTTATCTATGTACCCAGTGTTTTCATTTTTAGCCATTTATTTAGACTACTTCTGAAAGCTGAGATATTACACAAAGGTAATTTAACATTATTTGTTAACCATTTTAAAGCTTGAGAACATTAGGTGTTTATGTAAAAACCTTTAAGTTAAATACATGGACATTTTGTTGATAACTCAAAATGTGTAGCTTTTTTAATACACCATATTAAATGTCTCATTTATTAAAAATCACAAAAAAATTATTCTACCTTGAGCTGGGTTTATAGTTTTATAATTTTTATGCTAAATGTTGACACCTAATGAAATATGGCACAGAGGTGATATTGTGACTGTTGCACACCCAGATGACAGTAAAGATTGTCATTCTTTAACAGTAACACAGTCCATCACTGAGGCTCTGAATCTCACATGAGGAAGTTGTCAAAAGTTGGAAAATTGCCTCTCATAGGTGAATCTGGTCCACAGGTGGGTTGGTGACTCTCAGACCAAGATTCAGCACAGCTGTGAGGCTGTGACTTCACTAAGGGTACACAGTCTGCAAGAGGGACTGAGGCTGTCATGCTTGGTTCCAGTCCACTGTTGAGATTGTGAGTCATATACTGAGACCCAACATACAGGAAGTGTTACCTCTCATACCTATAACTGGGAAATGTACAGCATTGTTCATTTTATCCCTGGACTTCCCTGCAGGTGTGACTGAGAAATAAACCTCTGCCCAGCCTTTGACTTATTTGACTTTTCTGCCTCAGACAGCCCACCTATGGGATTGTGACATGTCACTAGACCCCACAACTAGGTAATGTGACTCTCTTCTCCTGCCTTGGCACTGTCTAAAGGGGGCATGTGATATATTGCTTGTCCTTAAACTCAGGTGATGTCACTCTCTCCTCCTGCCTTGGCACTGCTTGTAGGGGACATTGTGACGTATCACTGGGCTCCACACCTATAACCCACATTATGTAACTCTCCACTCCTGGGCCCTGCTCATAGTGGCCATTGTGACATATTGCTGACTCCAAAACCCAGGTGATTTAACTCTTTTGCCTTGCCCCAGCCTGCAGAGGGCATTGTGACACACCTCTGCAAACATCACCAAGGTGATGTAACTCTCTTCTGACAATTCCGTGTTCTAAAAGGTGATTGTGACATATCACTGAGCTTAGCACCTAGCTGATGTGACTCTTTTTTTCTTCCTAGATTCTGCCTGCAAAGAAGATTGTGACATATTGCTGGTTGCAGCACCACGGTGATATTACTCTTTTGCCTTGGCACTGCCCCCAGAAGGCATTGTGATATGTTGGTGGTCCCAGCTTCAAGGGAATGTAAGTATCCTCTCTGGACCCTACCCACAGAGGGCATTGTAACATATCTCTGGGCCCATTAACTGTTTGATATGACTCTTCTCTGACCTGGGCTCTGCTCACAGGGCTCATTGTGACATGTTTCTGGGACCATCACCTAGTTGATGTGACTCTCCTTCTCTGCCTAGGCCCTGTCCATGATGGGGATTGTGACATACTGCTTGATCAAGCACCTAAATGGTGTGACCCTTTTCTCATGCCTGGACCCTGCCCCATAAAGCAATTGTAACATATTGCTGAACCCAGCTTCTAAGTTATGTGACTCTCTGCCTTGATTTAAGCCCTATAAACAGAAGGCATTGTGACATATCTCTGCTTTTCTCACCTGGATGAGGTGACCCTCCTACCTGGGACCTCCTCAGGGAGTATTGTGAGAATTTGCTTGACCCAATACCTGTGTGATGTCACTCTCCTCTACCGCTTGGCTTCTTTCCACAGAAGGAATTGTGATCTGTCACTGGGCCCAGCATGCAGGTAATACAACTCTCCTGCATGGGCCCTGGCCACAGGAATGATTGTGACAGATTGCTGATGTCAGCCCCCTACGTGATGTGACTCTTCTGCCTGGATCTTATTTTCTAAGCTCATTGTGACATAATGCTGAGCTGACAATCAGATTAATGTCACTTTTCCTTTTTTTGTGGTTTGTTGAGATTTAGGGTCTAATTATTATTTATTTTTTAAAAAAGAATTTACAAGATACAAAGGTCTCACAATACATTATCACTGATGATTGCTGTCTTTTTCTTTGTTTGTTTGTTTGAGACAGGGTCTCCCTCTGTCGTCCAGGCTGGAGTGCCGTGGCAGGATCTTAGCTCACTGCAACCTCCGCCTCCTGGGCTCAAGCAGTTCTCACACCTCAGCCTTCTGAGTAGCTGGGATTACAGGCACCCACCACCACAGCCTGTCTAATTTTTGTATTTAATAGAGAGTTTCACCATGTTGGCTAGGCTGGTCTCAAACTCCTGACCTCAGGTGATCTGCCCGCCTTGGCCTCCCAAAGTGCTGGGATTACAGGTGTGAGCCACAGAGCCCAGCCTATTGATGATTGCTATCTTGACACCTTAACACAGGCCCTGATAGAAAGAACATGGACAGCGTGAGTCTGTTGGAGACTACCCCATGGACAAGCAGAATAAACTACAATGGGTTTGATGACAAATGATGTTGGGCCAGCCTGTTCCAAAAGCAAGCCAAGACGCAGTAGAAACCAATACGGCCTTTCTGTGGGGGAGGCATGAGTGTACTCCTTCTACCACAGGGACTCCCCAACACTGGCAGTGTCCATGCCTTATTCCACCACAGCAACAACAGAAAATGGTAAAATGGTCTTTTGCTGCTTTTTGCAGAGCTATTCGGGTTCCCAACTTCTTATTTCTGTCTTCCTCTTTATGTTTCAGTTCCAAATTCTTAAAGCAGTGTGGGTACTTACCATCTTGAATTTTTCAAGATCTAATTCTGCCCAGTGATAACACACTGAACTCTGCCTCCCAAGCCTATGGCTCTTGTTCAGAGGACATGTTGCCCTAGGCCTGACTGCCCTCAGCCCTGCTACTGGCACTGCAGTTTTCTTTTTGGGGTGTGTTTCTCTCCTGGCTTGATTCAGAAGGTACCTTAGCTCTGCTCTTTTCTCTGCTGCTCTTTTTCAAGCTTTGACAGCTGCTTTGGGTCAGAGGTAGCAGCACGGGGAGCTGATGATTCCAGGTCTATGGTCACAGGCCCTGGATTCTGAATGTGCACCTGCATGTGGGCCCCAAACTTGCCTGTATATCTTATGCAGCTGCTCCAGGAAGCCATTGTACAAGCCTTCTGCCTGTTCTGTGGGCATTGCCAGGTGGGCCTTTTTTTTTTTTTTTTTTAAAAACCCCTGTCTACTGGTAACATTGTGACATGCATCTAGATGCAACACCTAAGTGTGTGTGTGTTTTTTTTTTTTTTTTTTAATGTAGTGTCCCTTTGTTGCCCAGGCTGGAGTGCAGTGGTGCAATCTCAACTCACTGCCACCTTTGCCTCCCAGGTTCAAGTAATTCTCCTGTCTCAGCCTCCTGAGTAGCTGGGATTACAGGTGCCCATCACCATGCCTGGCTAATGTTTTGTAATTTTAGTAGAGATGGGGTTTTGCCGTGATCTCGAACTCCCATCGTAGAGTGATGGGATAGGCCTCCCTGCCTCGGCCTCCCAAAGTGCTGGGATTACAGGCGTGAGCCACCACGCCCGGCCAACCAAAGTGATTTAACTCTCCTGTCTTGCCTGGGATATATCGCTGGGTTCAACATTCAGGTAATGCGACTTTCCTGCAAGGACCCTGTCCACAGAGGCATTGTGACAGATTGGTAAGTCTATCACCCAGGGGATGTAACTCTCTTCTTTGAGACCTGCCTACAGGGGGCGTTGTGACTTATCTCTATGCCTATCACTCAGGTGATGTGATTCTCTTTTATTGCCTTGTTTTTGCTCACAGAAGAGATTTGGAACTATTACTGGCCCAGCACCCCTTTGATGTGACTCTTCCATTTTTCCTATATTCTGCCCACAGAATAGATGTGACATATGGTGGGACCCAGTACCTACATGATGTGACTCCTCTTCTGCCTGGGCCTTGCCCTCAGGAGATATTACAATATATTACTGGACCCAGCAACTAAGTGATTTGACTGTCCTGTTTTGCCCTGCTTTCTGGGAGGATTGTGACATAATTGCCTGGTCCAGTACCTAGGTGATGTGACTCTTCTCTTGCCTGGGCCTAGTCCACAAGGGACATTGTGACATATTGCTGGACCTAGCATCCAAGTAATTATGACTTTCCTGCCTGGTTGTGACATATTGCTGAACCCAGCACCCAGGTGATGTGGCTCTTCTGCCTGGGTTTTATTCTTAGGGGTTTGTGACATATCTCTGCGTTCATCAAGTATTTGATGAGAACTCTCCTCTCTGATGTGGGCTTTGCCCAAAATAAAGATAGTAAAATATCTCTTGACCTACCACCTAAGTGGTGTGTCTCTCCTCTATTGCTAGTGCTCTGCTCAGAGTGAAATTGTGATGTATTGCTGAGTCTAGCAGCTAGGTAATAAGATTCTTCTATATGGGCCCTGCCCAAAGGGGTGTTATGACATATCCTTTTATTTATCACCTAGGCAAAGTGACTGTCTTTATTTGCCTGGACCCTAACCAAAAAGAGAATTGTGACATAGCACTGGATCCAGCACCTTGGTGCTTTTTTTTTTTTTTTTTTGCCTAGAGCCTGCATATTTTGGGTATTGTGACGTACTGCTGAGCTCAACACCCAAGGGATGAGAGACTCTTCTGGGCCCTGTCTACAGTAGCCCTTGTGACATATGTCTGCATCTTTCACTTTGGGGCTGTGATTTCCCTCTTTTTCTTGCACCCTGCCCAAATGGAAAATTGCAATATATCACAGGGCCCAGCAAACCAGGTGATGTGTCTCTTCTCATTTGGCCATGCCCACAGGGAGCACTGGAATATATTGCTGGGCCCGGTACCCAGGGGATTTGACTGTTTTGCCAGTTCCCTGCTCTCAGAAGGGTATCATAACATATCTTTGGCCAGGCACCTGGGTGATGGGACTCTCCAGCTGGGTCCATGCTTTCATGGAAGATTGTGACATATCCCTGGCAGAGAGGCCGTCGATGTGTCTCTCTGCTTGCTCCATGCTCACGGATGGGATTGTGAAACACATCTTAGCCCAGCTCACATATGCAATGAGGACTGTCGTATCTTGAGCCAGCCAATAAGAGTGATACCGTGTATGTTAGGTAACCTTAAGGAAATGGGTAAGATTCTGGGTCTTCTCTCTATACTAAGGTCATAGAGGATTACCACTCTTTTGCATGTTGTATAAAACCTTCATTTGGTACAGAGAATGTTATCACAGAGCCCAGCAAAAATATGAGACTGTGGTTTTTGTATGCACTCTCCACCAAGTGCTAGGATTGTCACCCTTTAAACATGGAAAGAACCCACTGGTGAGGTCCTTAATCTTACACCTGGGCACAGTCCATAGTTGGAATAGTGACTGTCATATGTAATCATCTGGCTAAAGTTGGGATGGTGACTCATTTCTAGATCATAGGCAGGCAAGGCCTCTCATATCTGGACCCAACCAATTGGAGAGATGTTGATTGTCATACTTGGGCTTAGTGCTACAGGTTCAAACATGGGTCTATACCAGCAAGAAGGTCTCAGTGGATTTCCAACTCTCATGCATACCATATAAAACCCTCAGATAATACAGAGGGTGTCTTAACATGGCCCCACACAGGCAACATTGTGACACTTGTATGCACACCCAGCCAACAGTAAAGATTGTTATCCTCACACATGAATGCAGCCCCCTGTTGAGGTTTGGAATCTGACACCCAGAAAGAGTCAGAAGTTGGAAAATTGACTCTCGTGCATGGATTTCATCCATAGGTGGGTTGGTGTCCCTGAGACCAACATTCAGCACACTTGTGAGCCTGTGAGTCCACTAAAACAGTCTGCACAAAAAAATTGAGGCACTAATTCACAGATACAGTTCACTACTGACACTGTGACTCCTGTACTTGGTCTCAACATACAGGTGGTGTTTACTCTCGTATTGAAAACTGGGATGTGTCTGGGAGTGTTAATCTCATCTGTGGACCTTTGTGCAGATGGAACTGTGACATATGCCTCTGCCCATCACCTGATTTGACTCTTCTGCCTGGGACCAGACAACAGATGGGACTGTGACATCACTGGACCTAGCATTTAAGTAATGTGACTCCATTTGTCTGCCTTGGTGCTGCCGATAGGGGGCATTGTGACATGTTGCTGGGAATTGCACCCAGGTGATGTGAGCCTATTCCCCTGCCTTGGGGCTGCCCCCAAAACACATTGTAACATATCACTAATCTCTGCACTCAGGTTCTGTGACTCTCCTGTCTGTGCCCTGCCCACATGGATTATTGTGACATATTGCTGGGTCCAACACCCAGGTGATGTAACTCTCCTGCTTGAGTCCTGCCTTAAGTCCAGGGGGCATTGTGAAATATCTCTGCACTCATCATTCTGGTGATTTGACTCTCTTCTTGCCAGGTCTCTGCTTACAGGGGGGATTTTGATGTATTGCTAAGTCCAGCACCTAGCTAATGTAAGTTTTCTCTTCTTAGGTTCTGCCTGTAGAAAAGATTGTAACATAATGCTGGGCCCAACTTCAAGGTGGCATTACTTTTTTGACTTGGCCTTGCTCTCAGAAGACATTATAACATACTGCTGGGCCCAAAACCAAGGTTATGTTAAGTCTTCCTACTAAAACTTACCCACAGAAGACATCGTGACTTATCTCTGGGCCCATCAACTATTTGATGCGACTGTACTTTTATCTGAGATTTTTTAATAAAAGAGATTTTGACATATCTTTGGGCCCGGCACCTAGGTGATTTGACTCTTCTCCTGCCTGAGCCATGACCAGAGATGGAGAGTGACTTATTGCCTGAACCAGCACACAAATGTAATTATTCTGATTTCTTCCCAAAGAAGTAATTATGACATATTTTTGAGCCCATCACCTAAATGATACAATTTTTTGTTTCCTGACCCTTGCCCACGGAGGTGATTGTGAAATACAGCTGGGCTCAGCCCTTAGGTTATGTGACTCTCCTCTTTTTTTCTGAGCCCTATCCACAGTGGGCATTGTGACATATCTCTGGGCCCGTCACCTAGGTGATGTGACTCTATTTTCTGGGCCTTCACTCAGGCTATATTATGATATATGCCTATATCTAGCACCTAGGTAATAGGACTCTCCTATTCTGCATGGGCCGTGCATATATTGTGTACTGTGACGTATTTCTGGGTCCAGCACCTAGGTGATTTTGCCCTCCAGCACAGCCCCATTTGCCCTCAGGATTATAATATATCTTTCCATTCATCACCTACATGATGTGACTCTTTGCTTTTGTCCTGCCAAAAGGGATTGTGACATTTCACTGAACCCAGCACCTAGGTGATGTGACTCTCCTCTTATGATTGGGACTTAGAATTTTTGGTAGTGTGACGTACTGCTGAGCTTAACACCTAGGCAGTTGGAGGCTCTTGCCTGGGCCTGGCTCACAGTTGCCCTGTGACATAATTTTGCATCAATCATCTGGGAGATGTGACTCTTCTTTTCTACCTTCACTCTGCCCAAAGGGAAAATTGTCACATATCACTGGGCTCAGCAACCAGGTATGTGTCACTCCTGCTTGTGACTTGCCAACAGAGAGCATTGTGACATACTCCTGAGCCAATCACACTGGTGATGGGACTCTGCTTCATGTGACTTGCTTTCAGGAGGAAATTGTAACATATCCCTGGTTGAGCACCCAGGTAATG